ATCTTTGAAGTTGTTAATTGTTTTAGGTCTACTAAAATATCCTGTTGCTCCAGCACCAGTGGCTCACACCTATAATCCTAGTTACTCAGGAGGCTGAAATCTGAAGATTAAGGTTCAAAGCCAGCCCACACGGGAAAGTCTAGGAGCCTCTTATCTCCAACTAACCACCAAAAAGCAAAAAAAGCTTAAGGACCGCGTCAGGCAGGGCCTGAACTTTGAACTCATGCTCCAAGACTAGAACACTCAAAAAAAGACTCATATTGAAGTGGTCCAGAGCATTTTTTTTTTCATTATAGTTGTTGTATTTCCCAATTTCAGAATTTCTTTTCTTTTCTTTTTCTTTTTTTTTTTTTTGTTGTTGGTTGTAGCGCCTGAACTCAGAGCTGGGCTCTACCCCTGAGCTCTTTTTGCTCAAGGCTAGCACTCTGCCACTTTGAGCCACAGCTCTCCTTCCTGTTTTCTGGTAGTTAATTGGAGATAAGAGTCTCATGGACTTTCCTGTGCAGGTTGGCTTTGAACCACAATCCTCAGATCTCAGCCTCCTAAATAGCTAGGATTACAGGCGTGAGGCACCAGTGCTCAGCCATACCTAACTTTTTAAGTCCTTTTTCTTTATTGGTATTTTCTGATGGGAATTCACTTTCCTACTCTCCTTGAGGTTCATAGATATTTTTAAAAACTTGTTTGTGTATGTATATATATTTTTTGTGGGGGGAGGACGGTTGTGGGGCTTGAACTCTGGGCCTGGGTGCTGTCCCTGAGCTCTTCAGCTCAAGGCTAGTGCTCTACCACTTGAGCCACAGCACCATTTCTGGTTTTCTGGTAGTTTCATGGACTTCCCTGCCAGGGCTTGCTTTGTACTATGATCCTCAGATCTCAGCCTCCTGAATAGCTAGGATTACAGGCATCAGCCGCCAGCACCCAGCTTTTGTATATATATTTTAAGTGGGTCATTTTAAGCTTTTTGTCAGCTGGCAACATGGCTCAAGTGGTAGAATGCCTTCCTAGCAAGTATATGAGATTATGAGTTCAAACCTGGTACTGACAAAAAAAAATAGTTCTTTTCTAATAAATCCAGTATCTTGATTTCTTTAGTGATAGTTTCTGTTGTATTTTTCCTATAATGCGAATGCTCTTGATTTTGCATGTCTCATAAACTTTTGCTATTGTTACTGAAACCTGAGCTTTTAGGGAGAGTGGTACTGAGAGTTTGAACTCAAGACTACCTGCTTGCTTGCTAAACAGGTGCTCTACCACTTGGTCCATGTCCCATGCTCCTTTTTTTATTTTTTTAGATAGAGTCTTGTGTTTTTGCCCAAAACCAACCTGAAATCACTTTCCTCCCACATGCAGCCTCCCAAGTAGCTGGGATAATACACCACCACAGTTAGCAAAGTGATTGAGCAGGGTGTCACAAACATTTTGCCCAGGCTGGTTGTGAACAAGGATCCTTCTGATTGCCACTTTGCAAGTAGTGGGGATTGCATGCGTGAGCCACCACGTCCTGCCTGGGGCTGGTGAACTAGTTCAGTGGTGGAGCACTTGCCTCAGACCTGCAAGTCCTTAGGTTCCAAACCCATCACTGCAAAATACATAACTAAGATAATGTGACATGCTAGAAATCAGATTCTTCTCCTTCCTAGAGTTTTATAAAAAAAAACACTGCTGCTGTTTATTGTTGTTGTTACTTGTTTAGTGACTTGTTAAAAGTAAAGATCTGTATTATCTGTTAAGTAGGCAGCTACTAAAGACTGATGGGTCTCTGCCCACCGTCGTTGATGGCTGGACAGAGATACCTTTTAAGTGCCCTGGTTTGCCCCTGTGTGTGTTTGGAAGACTCCTGCAGCCCTGAGGCAGGCACTGTAGAACTTTACAGTAGCCCCTGCCTTGGCTGCTGTAGAGCCTCAAAGGCCAACCGAGTGAGGGAGGGTACTGTCAGGCCTCCCCTGCGCACAGCTGGGCCTGCCCTGGGCAAGTGCTGGGCCTCCCCTGCGCATGTGCTGAGCCTGCCCTGGGCAAGTGCTGGGCCACTCCTGCACACGTGCCAGGTAGGCACAGCCTCATGTGCACACAGGCCTGGCAGATCCGCAGGAACATTAAGAACTTGGCATGTCTGGTTAGTAGCTCATTCCCCAGTTTCCCTTTTAAACTTCTTCAATGAACCTACTGTTTATCCCACCCCTTATCCATCACCTTAAGGAAGCATGATTTAACAGCTGCTTCTGGTGGGTTTTGATAAGTGACCCCCAAGAAAAGATTCTTCTCCTGGGGTAAGCTCTCCTTCTAGTAAAACAGAAAGATGGTCAGAAAGCCACCAGAAACATCAAATTATTATTATTATTTTGTCAGTCATGGGGCTTGAACTCTGGGCTTGGACACTGTCCCTCAGCTCTTCAACTCAAGGCGAGTGCTCTACCACTTGAGCTACAGCGCTACTTCCTGTTTTCTGGTGTTTTATTGGAGATAAGAGTTTCACGGACTTTCCAGCCCTGGGCTGGTTTGAACCACGATCCTGAGATCTCAGCCTCCTAAGTAGCTAGGATTACAGGCGTGAGTCACCAGTGCCCGGCTACATCAAATTCTTGTAATCCTGTGGGGAAGGACTTCTAAAGTACTTCGTGAAGTTTCTGTGGATTGAGCATTTGATGACATGAGTCAGAAGTAATCTTACCTGCTTCTCTGACAGCTGGGTGGTCGCTGCTTTGCTGGGGTGAGCCAGATACAGCAGGCAGAGAAAACAGAAATAGGGAGTGTGACAGCTCCTTGGAGTTCAAGGAGTTCTTGCTGAGATCCAGCTGATTTACTTTTCTTTCTTTTGATGCTGGGAATGGCACCTAGGACCTTGTGTATACTAGGCAAGTGCTTTACTACTGAGCTACTTTGCCAGCCATAACTGTCCCCTTTGGGGATTTGCTACAAACCTTGGCTGATTTCCAGAGTTCAGGAAATGGAGATTCTTGTCATTTTTACCATTGTCCCCGTTGCTTTTACAAAGAAGAGTTTTCAAAGGTTCATGCTCCTGTGTGTGTGTGTGTGTGTGTGTGTGTGTGTGCTTGTGTGTGTACGTATGCAAGCCATATCATCAGTCTGCCTTTTTGCATGTTGATTGGAGATAGAGTCTTGTGGACTTTTCTGCCTAGGCTGGCTTCAAACTATGATCCTCTAGATCTCAGATTCCTAAGTAGCTAGGACTTTCTTTACTTTTATCACCCTCACCAGCAAATGGGTTTTAAGCCTGCCTGTGTCCATTCTTTGTGGCATGAGTGTCAAAGACACTCTGCTTATTCACTGTGGCTTATTGAGGTCACTTGTCTTCAGTGGAATGGCATGTGTCTTCTGTGGGATGGGAATTGTCATCCAAGATACTCAGGGTTTAGTCTTACACCTGACTCGGGCCCACAAAGGAGCTGAGATTTACAGAGCACCTACTGTGTATGCAGGAAACCCTGTATGGTTTAGGTCCACAGCATTGCATCATCCACCATCAAGATAGCGCTAATGTCATGGCGAAGAGATGAAGAAGCAAATGAGATGCAAAGCGCACAGCACCACACTGCTGCCCCTGGCAGGCAATTTTGTTGTGTGTTCTTATGCCGTTGTTGACCTACTGTGGCCTGATCCCCAGAGGAGGAAGTGGAGTTGAAGGGATTGCGTAACCATCCTTTGAATTCCAGCCTAAGTATCTACTCCCAAAGCCTATTCTAGTCCACATTCTACTCCAGCTCATCCCTGCTCTGGATCTCACCTTCCTTACTCTGTCAAGGGGATGATTAGAAGGACTAAAATTAATTATCCCCCAGTGGTTCATGCCTTTCATCCTAGCCACTCAGGAGGCTGAGATCCAGAGGATCACGGTTCAAAGCCAGCCTGAGCAAAGAAGGCTGAGAGACTCCATCTCCAAAATCACCAGCAAAAGGTCCATCAGACCTAGGAGAATTATGTTAAATGAAGTTTAAGTCAGGCCCAGAGAAACATGTATGTGGTATATGTTTTCTCTCATATGTAGAAGTTTGATCTAAAATACAAGCATGTATGAGAACATATATGTGTATATACACACACATACACACATACAAATTGACTAGCAGATAGTATACCCAGAGAAGGAGTCCAATGGTGTAATGCCTCTGAACAACTAAGAACTGTTTAACAAAATGAATACCAGGAAGCTGAAAATGTTTTGTTGTTGGGGGGTGGGGCTCATGGATGGGGACACAGGAATCGAAGATATAGTCATATTCAGTTTACAAATTTGAACTATATAACTCGAGGGTAGGAATGCAGGGGAAGGTGGGGAGGGGGTGGGGGGAGGATGGAGTGGGGGGGAAGGGAGTATGGGAAGGGATGGGAAGGAGAAACAAAGAGGAGGCAACAATGCTTGATAAGAAACGTACTCGTTATCTTGCCCATGTAATTGTAACTCCTCTGTACAGTATTCTCACAAAAAAAAAAAAAAAAAAGATGGAAGGGGGGACATTGATCAAAAGGTATTGCACTCATCATCTGACTTGTGTAATTGAAACCACTCTGTACAACTACTTCAAAAAGATAAAATCTAAAAAGAAAAAAGAAAAACCTGGACTGGAGGTGTGACTCAAGTGGTTGAGCGCCAGTCAAAATAAGCATGCCAAGCAAGCGTGAGGCCTTCAATCCAGAACCAGGTACAAGAAAGGAAGGAAGGAAGGAAGGAAGGAAGGAAGGGCGGGAGGGAGAGAGGGAGGGAGGGAGGAAGGAAGGAAGGGAGGGAGGGAGGGAGGGAGGAAGGAAGGAAGGAAGGAAGGAAGGGAGGGAGGGAGGAAGGAAGGAAGGAAGGGAACTAAAATGACTCACCAATGAACATGTTCTGAATTGTCTTGAGGAGTCCAGGGGGAGGTTATAGAGCTGAGTGATTTCAGTCCTTTTCTTGGCGGCAGGGATCCAGCAGATAGCCTAGCAGGTCAGTAACCCTGCATCTTCCCTCCCGCTCCCTTCCTGCCCCACCCACCCTGTGTGCCATGCAGAGTCGAAAGGGGACAAAGCCAAGTGGGTGTTCACCTGGCCGCTCATCTTCCTCCTGTGCATCACCATCCCCAACTGCAGCAAGCCCCGCTGGGAGAGGTTCTTCATGGTCACCTTCCTCACGGCCACGCTGTGGATCGCCGTGTTCTCCTACCTCATGGTGTGGCTGGTGAGTGCAGTGGGAGCGGGGAACCACTGCCGCACAAGGGCAGGGGACATGGCTGTGCTAGCCAGGGCTGGCTTCGCTCACCACTGCTTCATTCTCAGTAAAAGGCATCTTTAGCAAAGAGGGATGGTACCCCACAGCCTGAGAGAGGCGGCTCCCCTGGGTGGGTGGAATCACGTGGCAGTCACGTGACAGCCTCATGGCACGCGATCAGGTTCCCAGGGGAGTGTGGGAAGGATGGAGACTGGGGAAGGTCATCTCCTTCAGTGGAAGATGATGGTGGGTATAGATGACCCTGCCAGATCTCCCTGGCTCTTTCCTGTCTGCCTGCCATTGGCTGAAACACTTTATGCAAACTTCTCTCTTCATAACGAGCCCACCAGACAGGTGTTTTTCCTGCCCTTGTTTTACACATAGGGAGCATAGGGTCTGAGAATTTGCCCCTGGTTACATGAGTCGCTCGTGCTCACCATGGAATTAGAACCTGGTCCTGGGCCTTCCGAGTCTTGCCTTCAGCCCCAGTCTGAACTGCCGCCCACCGGACCCCTGGGGCTCCCAAGGCTGATGGACAGCTATTTAGCAGCTTGACGTGGCTCATCTGGCCGCAGGCGACAGCTGACTGGATGCAGCTGGGCCAGGCGATGCAGCATCCTGCCCTTTGCTCTGGGGTCTCCCAGAAGCTGCCCTCCCCCCTTCTCTCCTTCCTCCTCCTATCAGCCAGTGGTAACAGCAAGGGACATTATGAAAGTAAGACACCTGGAAAACAGCAGGGTTAAGTAAATATTGTCATTTACAGTGTTTTTGTGAGAACAAAGGAATCAACTAACTCTCCAATCGTGTGGGGGGCTGCCTCAAACTGGTCTGCACGTCTGCATCCATTTAAATGACTTCTCTGAAGCCCGGTGCCAGAGACTCACTCCTATGATCCTTGCTACTCGGAAGGCTGAGATCTGAGGATTGTACTCTGAAGCCAGCCCAGGCAGGCAAAGGCCACGAGACATTTACCTTCAATGAACCACGAGAAAGCCAGGAATGGACTTGTGGTTTGAGTAACAGAGCTGCAGTCCTGAGCGACAAAGCTAAAGGACAGAGCCTAGCCCTGAGTTGCAAGCCCCAACCCCAGCACACAAAAACATTTTAAATAAATATTAAAAAAGAGACTTTTCCACTGGCTACAGTCACGTCACGCTCAAGTTAAAAGCACACAGGGTAAAAAGAGTTTCCAGGGCTTTCTGAGAGTGTTCATCCCTCCCCCACCTCTTCCTCAGGTGACTATTATTGGATACACGCTTGGGATCCCTGACGTCATCATGGGCATCACCTTCCTGGCAGCTGGCACGAGTGTTCCTGACTGCATGGCCAGCTTGATCGTGGCGAGACAAGGTATGCCTGGTGCCGGGGCCCTCCCCTCTTAGGCCCTCTAACCTCCCTTCCAGGAAGACAACACAGGCACCAAGTGAACAGATTGAATAAGATGAGTGATGTGAGGTTTAATGGCAGAACAAAAGACCTGCAAAGTCTGCCCTTGATTTTCTGCTCCTTTGCTGCCAGTGAGATAGCGTTGCAGAGTGGACTTCACAGGACTTCCAGATAAACCTGAGTTTGAAAGTCCAGGAGAGACCTGCTGCAGTGGCTCAGGCCTGTAATCCTAACTACAGGAGAAGCTGAGATCAGGACAATCTCATGGGACTCCTCTCAACCAATAGCTAGATATAGTAGTGCATACCTATCATCCCACCTATATAAAAGGCAGGGATCAGGGAGGATGATGGTTCCGAGTCATGATTTTCTTTGCCTAGATCAGCCTGGGCAAAAAAGCTCACAAAATTCTATCTCATAAGAAGAAGCCGGGTGCAGTGGCACAGGCCTGTCATCTCAGCTATAGTGGGAAGCATAAAATAGGAGGATCACTGTCACAGGCCAGAGGAAAGAGTGGAAATCTAACTCAGTGCAAAGAAAAAAAAAGGCTCAGCGGTGTGGCTCATCCGTAGAGTACCTCTGTAGCAAATAAAGAGTTCAAACTCTAGTAACACACACACACACACACACACACACACACACACACACACACACACACACACACACACACACACACACACACACACACACACACACACACACACACACACACACACACACACACACACACACACACACACACACACACACACTCCAGAGGCAAAGCAGGGGAAATTGTGGAAAGCTGTCTCCAAAGATGGGAAGAGAGCATTATGAAAGAAGGACAAGATGGTTAGTTTCTCTAAGACGGGAGGAAGGTCCGAGTAGCTGGCTGGAAGTGGGGGAGGCTGTTGGTGGCAGGTCAGTGCATATTCCTATATTGGCCAGAGGCTGGGAGGCTGGAAAGCCAGAATCCCAGAGGTCAGGTTCCTCACAGGACTAAGCCACCCACACTCTGATGTCACCCACGCTAAGTCTTCTCTCCCTCCCTCCATCCTGAGGCTTGAATTCTGGGCCTGAGCACTTGTCCCTGAGCTCCTTTTGCTCAAGGCTAGCCCTCTACCACTTGAGCTATAGTGCTACTTCCAGCTTTTTCTGTGATTAATTGGAGGTCAGAGCTTCACAGACCTTCTTGCCCCTGCTGGCTTTGAACCACGATCCTCAGATCTCAACCTCCAGAGTAGCTAGGATTACAGGATTAAGCCACCAGCGCTCGGCTTATACAAGTCTTTTTACCTGAATCCCCTCAGCTTGTGAGACAGCATGATACTATACAGCTGTACAGGAAAAGAACAATAACAGGGCCCAAGTCTCTCTGATATGCTTCTGGTCTGGTTGGGGGAAGTTCCTCCTCAGAAACCACCAGAACATACGATTTGCTGTCCTAACTTCCCTGCCAAGGTCTTGATGCTGTTCCCTAGGCACAAGCGTGTACTGTGGCTGTGTGAAGGATGCTGGGCAGGTGTCCTGAGCTAGACTGCTCCCATGTTATGTGCTCTTGAGCCTCTGTCACATGAGAATGGGGTCTTCCTGAACACTGCAGTGTCATGGTTGTATTCAACAAGCAGCCATCGTGGGAACTCCGTTGAGCACTATGAGAGAAATAATGGAAGGAAAGCCTGTGTTTATTTGTCAGGGTTGACATAACCACAGGCTGGATGGCTTAAACAACCGAGATTTATCCTCTCAGAGGCCTGAAAGCCAAAGTAACAGTGGGCTGGGTGGGTTCCTTCTGAGCTATGGGGGTGAGGCTTTCCCAAGCCTTATCCGGACTCCTCTCCTCCTCATCCCCATGTGCTGTCCCCATGTGCTGTCCCTGCCCACGCCCCTCATATTTACAGGGACATCTCAAGTTGGACTCATCCTAACCTATACTGACCTCATCTGACTTGTGACCTCATCAAAGGCAGTGCCTCCCAATAAAGTGGTGCCCTGATGTACTGGGGGTTTGGAATCCAACCCATAATGGGATCCTTTGGACTCCATGCAAGTGGTCTGAGAATGCCAGGTGCTGGTGACTCAACACCTGTAATCCTGAGGATCTCGGTTCAAAGCCAGACTAGGTAGGAACGTCTGCAAGACTCTTATCTCCAACTAACCACCAGAAAACCAGAAGTGGCACTGTGGCTTAAGTGGTAGAGTGCTAGCTTGGAGCAGAAAAGCTCAAGGACAGCAGCTAGGTCCTGAGTTCAAACCCTACAAACAACCAAAAAAAAAAAAAAATGCGGGCCCATGAAGGAGACATCGTTTCGTAGGGAATGGCACCAACTGAACCAGAATGAGAAAGAAATCATGTTTCATGTGACCTGCGCTTGATGGAAGAACTGTGTTGTTTGTCCCCACAGGCCTGGGAGACATGGCGGTGTCTAACACCATAGGGAGCAACGTGTTTGACATCCTGGTGGGGCTTGGCATTCCGTGGGGCCTGCAGACCATGGTTGTTAATTATGGATCCACGGTAAGTTCCTCTCCCAAGGTAGGAGGTGGAGGTCTTGAAGAGGATAATGGCATTCCTTCTGTTCCAGCCCAGGTCTTCAGGAGATGTGCTGTCCTTTCTCCTGAGCACCCACTTTCTTGGACAGCTTCTGGAATAGTCCAGAGGTAGATACTGGAGGGAGCCAGTGTTGGCCATGTGTTTGTCAGTGCCTTTTATCTTTTATCTCAGCTGACCAGCACCTGTCCCCCTCCCAGCCCACATTTGAACCCCAAGCTCTCCCTTTGCCATGGGCGTCCTGGTCATCTATGGCCACGTGTTTCCTCGAGCACCCAGAGCATCCTGGGCTTTTAGAATAAAGATGCGTTTGTGTTTGTTTTTCAGGTGAAGATCAACAGCCGGGGTCTAGTCTACTCTGTGGTGCTGTTGCTGGGCTCTGTTGCTCTCACTGTGAGTTTTTACAATTCCAAAATAGAACCCTTAAGAACGTGTATGTGTGCATGCACACGTGCATTCGCGGGCATGCACGCATGTGCGTATGCTAGGACTTGGACTCAACTCATGAGCTTGGCTTGACTTTTTCACTCGAGACAGGTAGGTGCTCTACTACTTGAGCCATACCTCCACTTCCAGCTTTTTAGCTGGTTAATTGGAAATAAAAGTCTCACAGGCTTTTTGCCCAGGCTGGCTTCTAACCACATCCTTAGATCTCAGCCTTCTGAGTAGCTAGGATTTTAGGCATGAGCCAGTAGCACTTGGCTTTGAATGCTTTATATCATACGATTCTGCATCAGAAGAACTCTTGCTGGCCAGGGACATGTGTGCATTCAGATTCACCAATCTCAATATTTGCCAAGAGCACTCGCAGCCATCACTACACTTCCTGAGATATGCCACAGGGGCTAGAATCGTGCTTCTGGCTTCTTGCTGCCACAGCTGGTGTCCTCTCTAGGGACAGTGGGAGAGAGGTCCTGACCCACCCCACGCTGACAGGTGGGGATATGACAGGCCTCGGGACAACTCACAGTGACAGCCAGGTCCTCCCTGCTCCTCGGGCTGGGTCTGCACAACTTTCTTCCATCCTCACGGCCACTGATGGGAGGGATTGATAGTATTCCCATTGGCATAGGATCTGAAAGGAAATGGAGGCTCAAGAGTTCTGAAAGCAAATGGAGGCTCAGGGGTTTTTAAAGGAACTAGAAGCTCAGCAGTTTGTTCTAAAGCTTGCTCGTGGTTTCTGAGTAGGGAAGTGGCAAATCCAGGTTGATTTTTCTTTATAAAGCTCTGTGCTGTGTGACAGTACCTGGACTCCCCCCCCCCTCCCTTGGAAACCTTGATTCAGGGAGAAGAGGAAGGCAATGGGGGAAGTGGGAAGTATGTCCTCCCCTCCTCCACCCAAACACACACACACACACACACACACACACACACACACAGAAACAGAAAGAGACAGAAAAGCAGGCGGGCACAGACACATAGTGAGAGACAGAAGAAAGAGAGACATGCATATACAGACATAGAGACAGAGACAGGCATGTAGGCACAGATACATGATGAGAGACAGAAAAGGAAAAGAGAGAGAGAGCGAGAGAGAGAGAGAGAGAGAGAGAGCTTGGCTGCCCCTAGCATCCATAGCCAAGGGGAAAGACTCATTTGTCCATAATTAGGGCTATGGGGTAGAGGCCTGGGCCAATAAAGTCATGTGCATCTTGAGGAGAAGGCCTGGGACCTTGGGGAGGGTCTGCCATGCAGGTGGCCACTGTCTATCTTGGAGTCAGTGGGACAGGTCATTGGAAAAATCTAAACCCTGCAGAGCTGATTCTCCTCAAATCAAGGGTAAGCCTGGAAGTGCCCATTTGGGCTTGCCTGCATCCTGCACAAGGTTCTGGAATGTATCACTTAGGTGTTGGCTTTTGTGTCCCTTGTCTCTCCACTCTCTCCTACCAGGTCCTCGGCATTCACCTCAACAAGTGGCGTCTGGACCGGAAGCTGGGCATCTACGTGCTGGTTCTTTATGCCGTCTTCCTGTGCTTCTCCATCATGATAGAATTTAACGTCTTTACCTTCGTCAACTTGCCCATGTGCCGAGAAGATGACTAACGCTGAGCTGCTGTCCCGGGAGCTGTTGTGGCCTCCCCTGTGACACCAGCGTCCCCTCTCTCTCTCTCCTTCCCCACCACAGATCTCTCCTGCCTCCGCAGCCACCATCTGTTCGCTCATGAGCTGGAAGGAAGGGCCAGCATGGTCATTGTCTGACCACAGGCCGGGCTGCTAGGTGCCCGCCTCCTCCTCCTCGGAGGCCCCGCCCCTGCTGAACGGGGCTCTCCATTCCTTGAGCAGCATCCCTCGACCCCGGGGATGTGTTGGAGTGTCTCACCCCTCTGCTACACGCTTTAGTCGAAAGGACTTCAGGTGCAGATTGTCTTTCTGTGGAAATGGGGTGTCTGCGCAGAAGATCTCCCAGGGCAAGTACAAAATCGGGGTGTTATTTGCAAGTGTCACCTCTGGGCCAGAGGAGTGAGATCCATTCCTAGGCAGCTCATGCCACCAAGAGCCTCTGTCTCCGCTGGAAGCCCCCAGAGCTTGGCGAAGACAGGGGCATCAACCTTGGGGGGATTTGAGAGAATGACAGCAGACATTCCACCACCCCCCCCCTTTTTTCTGGAAAAATTGGAAGAATGGAAACAGGTCTTCACAGCAGAAGAGAGACTACTTTTATCCTTTTTATTGATGCATTCAGAGAATGAGCACTGAAATATGAAAAATAAAATGTCATAGAGACCATCATACTTGAACAAAATGTCATTCTACACAAAAGGATCATGAAGGGGAACCCCCCCCCCCAAAAGGTAACCCTTGTGGAGAATGGATCCTGTGTGTATATGTCATCTTGCACTGGCCCTAAGATACTTGCTTTGGAATATGGGAAAAGGTCAAAGGCCATGGGGAAACAGGTGCTACTCATAGCCACGGTGGGGGGTGGGGTGGGGGACGAGGTTTCCATGCTGTGTGAGCCAAGGCACCGCCGACTCAGGTGTGTCATGGCTTTGCTGATGCTCTGGTTTCAAAACCGCCCGTTAATATTGCACAGTTGCTCCAACAAATTTGAGAAGTGCTGGTTCATGACAAGAAGAGCAATTTCCTGCATTGCTCTCAGGTTCGCTGGAGCCAGGTGTGTGAAACGCGAGGTCTTGGACGCTTTAGAGCTAAGTTCTTAGACCTTTAGGGTGTTTCACATGAAAAGTTGGACATGAGAGATGGATGAAAAAAACAGGAAAGATGAATGCGTATTTGACTGCTTCGTAGCTCGAAATAGATATTTCACAGAGCTATGAACACAAACCATTCTTGGGTTATGCAAAAAAGAAAACACATTTATTCTATATAGAGTGGGATTTCCTTTATTTTTTTAATGTTTCTATTGCAAAATCTTATCAGATGTGATGCACTTTGAATATTGAGACCATTTTGCACAGTGGAAGGTATGAAGATGACCCAAAAGGGAGTAGGAAGAAAGTTTTTTAGCGATTCTCTAGAGATCGTTTTAAACTTGGTAATGAGTCTAGCTCCAGTGGCTAGTCTCTCTACTGGGGACACAGAGCTCATGAGTCATATTGGAATTTATGACTGTTTTCTTTAAGGCCTCGAAGATGTCAAAGGAGGAAATGTTTCAGCTTATGTCCCTTCAGTTCCTTTAAGTATGAACTCCTGTGGGACCTCGCTCCTAGTACTGAGCTTCTGTTGGGGTCCACTTCAGTATTAGTAGATACACCAAGGCAAGGTTTCGCTTTTCTCTTCCTACATAGTGGGCTTGGGATAGTTCAAATCGAGACGAAAATGATTTTCCTAAGAAATCCCAGCAGAAGAGGAAGGGGCCCATAGGTTTATGCATATAAACTTAGCCTACAAGGGCTTTCAGAGCTGTTCTGTATCCTATTAGGTTAGTTCATCTTAGTTCATGTGCATGCACGCAGACACACACACACACACACACTCACACACACACAGTTTCACAAACTTACCCAGACTCCAAGTGTTTCTATTTCTGTTTTTATTTTCCTAATTGCCCTATGAGAGGTACATAGGGCTTTAATAGGCAATTTAGTCTTGGAGCAGTGGAGCATTTCTAGTTTAGTAACCAGTAAGTGGTACCACTGGGGCCAGGCAGCAACCAGTGCCCTGCCCAGGACATGTGGCTGGCCATGGTGACCAGCCTGGGGCAGTGGCCTGGCTATGACTTTGCCCTTATAGTTAGTTTGCTTTTATTGTTCAAACACTTAATTGATCTCCTTTCTCCAGATCAGATCTTAGTGTCTACCCTGGTCCAATGTCCCTACATTTTTACTGAAAAAAAAATATATATATTTTATAGTCACAAGCCAAATGGCCTCTGAAGATAGCTCTGGGGGGGGGGGGGCGGGGGTGTCCAGCACACATCTTTCAGAGAACATATCCTCACAACCCTCTTCTTCCTCCACAGACTCCATGTCAGGCTGTAAGGCATACTGCAGTTAGAGACTTAGCAAACTTCATCTTCAATACAGAGTGGGCTCCTCTTTGTGTAGTTTTCTTTGGACTTTAATGTGCCAATGAACTTCCTTAAAGTTAAGCTCTCTGAAGTTGTTATACTAGGAAAGCATGTATACCTTAGATACAACATTCTCTGTTTTTCACAGATTATTTTTCCATCCATCACAAGTTTAAAGAATGGCTTGATAATGTCGGCCTTGTTTTCTTCTTCTCTTTTTTTAAAATCAAGTGAATGCTTTCATCCCTAGATAGGGTACCTTTTATTTATCCCCAAAGCTAATTACTATGGGGCGATTACTTCTGCTACGGAAATAGACAATTTAAAGAAATGCATTTAGTTCTAATCACTGGGGACAGAAAAGAAGGAGGAGTCTTTGAGCTCCACTAGAAGATGTCTGTAGAAGGCAGAGACCCAATCCCTGACCACGCCTGATTTGCCTTTGCCAGCCTGAGCACTGGGGTGAGCAGTAGGTAGTATCTTAGGAACCGGATCCCCTGGAGGAAGGTTCTAGGTGAGCTGTGGTCAGAAACTGTGGGTGGGTTGCCATGAGCCCTCCCTGCCCCCTTCTGCCCTTCCCTAGCCTATCCGTCCAGCAGCTCATCCTCTGTGGTCAACTGGTCACACGTGTGTCCCTGCTTCTACCCCTGGCCCCTGTGTCTCTACCTGGCAGCCCTGGTGTGTTTGCCCTGTTCCCTACCTGTAAGACCTGTTTTCTTGCCTTTTTTTGTTGTTGTTGTTGGTTGTGGGGCCTGAACTCTGGGCCTGGGCACTGTCCCTCAGCTCTTCAGCTCAAGGCTAGCGCTCTACCACTTGAGCCACAGCACCACTTCCAGCTTTTTTTTTTCTGCTTATGTGGTGCTGAGGAATCAAACCCAGGGCCTCATGCATGCAAGGCAAGCGCTCTACCACTGAGTCACCTTCCCAGCCCCCTGTTTTCTTGCTTTTGTAATGGTCTCAAGCTCCAGCCTTCCTCTCCTGAGCCAGGTTCAGCCCTGTAGGGTGTGCACCCCTGCAAAAGCAGTGCTGTTGATGCTTCCAGTGCTCTCCTCCCGGGCTCCAGGGGTCTAAGCATGCTTTTCCCTGGAGAGGAGGCCTTGTGAGACCCGGGGGGCAGGGGAGGAGAGGGGGCAACCGCGCATGCTCAGAGTGCAAGGCCCCCAGCAGGACAGGACTCAGCAGTACTAGAATGACAGAGTTGGATCATTCCTGAGATAAAGTGAGGGAGAAGGCCAGCCCAGCAGCTGAGGCTGCCTTTTCCTCACCCCATCCCCATCCTGGCACCGATGCAAGATGAGCTGATAGGGCTTGAGGCCCTTGGTCAGCAGGGCTCCGCCTCCCTCATGCAGGGTTCTCCCCTGGGAGCCAGCAGCTGGCAAGCAGAGATTTCCACCACCACTCCCCGCCCCCCATGAGTTTGCTCATGTCCCCTGGTGCTGTGTCTCCACACTGCCCAGCCTCCTAGGGAGGATTTGGTCTCCCCTCTCCCACCTGCCTTTTCCTCCCTGTAGGTCTTGTTCCGCCCTGGCTGGAAATGACAGGTTTGCAACAAATGCTTGTCGCATGAATAACAAAGAACTTGGTTGTTTAAAAATTGATCATCAGATTGCGCCAGTCAACCACACTTTAAACATGTACCGGGGTTCTCTTGTATCCTCCAAACACGATCCTTCTCTGGAGGCAGCTAGCAGCGCATCCAGAACCCAGAGGAGGCAGCGCTTCAGATGCGCTATGTTACCCATAGAAACTTCTAGAAATTTCTAGAAGTATCCTCTGCTTAGCTCTTGGGTGGCAGGAAGGCCATCATCCCCACCCATTCTAGATCAAACGCACGGACTCCCTGACCCTGTCTCTCCCTATGGAGTTACCAAAGAGAATTCCGCGCCAGGTATAAACACTTAACTCTTGGGTTTTCTGGTCTCTACAGCTTGTCCTGAGCCCTCAAAGGTAAAGGCCTCTCAAGGCATGGCGAACACACATCTCAAAAGTATGCTCTTTGGGTAGGTCTCCCTTGCTGTGTTCCTATGGGAACAGGAGAGCATGCCTTTCTTGGGCCTGGCCCAAAGGGCACAGGGCGTGGCACTCTGGGTTTCCTTCAAACACCGTCTCCTGCCAGCCTGGCTTGTGCAGGATCTTCACCTTGCTGTAGGGAACAAACTGCGCCCTGGTGGGCATGCTGCAGATTTAAAATGGTGTTTTGATTTAGGTTCTTGGTTTGGCTGGATGCTACTTTTGTGCTTCCTCCGGAGGCTGGAACACAAATGCTGGACACAGCACTGCCCAATCAGGCATACGGGGCTGGTATGCAACCAGGCCAAGAGACGTACTTCTCTAATTCTGTCACCCACACAGGGCAAAAAGCTTTAATTACGCAAAGGAGGTTTTTACCTTTCCAACTTTTCAAAGCCAACATCCCAGTAGCTCACACCAGTAATCCTCACTACTCAGGAAGCTGAGATCTGAGGATTGAGGTTCAAAGCCTGCCCCAAGCAGGCAAGTCTTGAGACTCTTATCTCTAACTACCAAAGAGCCACAAATCGAGGTGTGGCTCAAGTGGTAGAGCCTGAGAGAAAAACCTAAGGGACAATGCTCAGGCCCTGAGTTCAAGCACTAGTAGCTACCTACACACACACACACACACACACACACACACTCAACTTTTCAGACAACTGCCAGGTTCCATTCACTTTGCTTAAATCCTTAACTATCTAGAGGTACATCGCATGAGTACAAGCACTGCTTTGGGTC